CAATTTATATGATATAATTATTTTTGTAAATAGTATAGTACGATACAAAAATTGATATAATATAATATGTTAATATAAAACTGATATGTAATTAGAACTTCAAGTACTATACTATATAAACTTTCTCGTATTAAAACATATATTATAGTATAGTCCAAAAAGTTATATATTATAGTATAGTCTATAAGAAAATATGGGCAATATATTACAGTATAGTCCGAAAGAAGGAGTTTTTAGTAATTTTTATGTGGGTCATGGTTAGTTTGCAAATTATTTGAATAGTATGGTTATATTCTTCGATTGTTTTGTAAATATAGTTAGATAGCAAAAAAGCCAAAAAAGTAAAATGTGAAAAAAAAATATTTAAAATTAATGTGATATAATATTATTTTTTTTTCAATAAACTTTCTCGTAATCTAAGTTTTTAAGTAAGACTCCTTCAAAGAAAGACAGACAATGATAAAAAAGAGTAAATATAATTTTTTTTTCAAATGGATCAATTATATAGGTTTAATCGCTAGATTTACTTTTCTTTAAAATCAAAAAAAAAATTAAAAAGAAAGTTGAGTGGTTCGAACTCGAGTTCAAAGATGTAAACTCCCTCTCAAATACCACTTTGATACGCTAACTATTGTTAACCTTCAGATATTTTCTTATAATTTGCTTACGTGAGGTAAATGCCTTTTTCAATGCACTATAGGCACGTGGCTCTGAATACATTCATTACCGCGTGGAGGATATTAATGATTTAGAGAACAGAAGAGATGGAATTTTAAAATTAACCTTTACTTATTAAAATAGAATAGCTTTTTGTTTTCTGAAATTAAAATAGAATAGTTATAAAAGGGTACATAAACTAAAGACTAAAGGAAGCTTAAACGCATAGATAAGAGCACAGAATGACATTCTCATTGCTTTCACCTAACTCCAATGATCGTCTCTACCTTATCCTTCGATTCTCCATCACCATCTCCATCTCCATATTCTTCTTCATATTCGTCTACATCTTCTTGATCATCTTCGCTTCTGTCTTCATAGATGGAGCATAGATGGTTGACTTGAGTAGCTTTGGGTTGTTAAACACTAATACCATCTTCTTCTTCATCTTCATAATCATCTCCATATCCAGCGTTATCTCCAATTCCATATGTATATTCTCCATCTAAGAAGTCATCTTCACTTACTTTTATATCATCTGATTCTTCTTCTTCTGTCTTCACATATGGAGCATAGATGTTTGAGTTGAGTAGCTTTGAATCGTTAACATTAAGATCCTCTGCTTGGTTTGCAAAGGCGTAGAAACTACTAGAGTCGTCTACAAGAACGTAGAATCTACTGGGATTCTCAGAAGCTTCATGGTAATCTCCAAAACCTTTGATTTCAACACGTTGGAGAGTGTTCCTTTCGGGGTTGTAGTAGAAAACATAAAACGGTTGTTTAGACTTATAAGAGGCCATCGACAAAACGATTTCACCCGTAGCAATCACTCCAACGACGGAAACGGAATCACCTACGAACTTATCATCCTTGAAAGTGTAGGAATAATTCGACCATTTCTTTTTCTTTTTCTCAAATTTCTCTAGAACACTCACACGCAACTCGATGACATACCATCGTTAATTATCATCATAATATACCACACCTAATTTACCTTTATAGTTTATCAATTCACAAAAGCGTTTCACGAAAATAAACATGAATTGCTCAGACCTAATATCAAAGCAGAGTATCACAAGTTTATGATCCCCAAACTGCTCATACACATCACCTAAGTAATACAAAACCCCATTGATGCATATCCCTTCACTCAAATTTTCATGTCTAAAGGAACATCTTATCGTTCTCCACTTCGTTTCTCCATTTCCTAATGTCATAATTTTATGATGACCAGGACCACTTGGATAAGCCATGAACAATACCTTGAATGGCTTCCCAATCGGATCAATAATATAGATTAGAAAAATTTCTTACACCTATATTAATTGACAAGAAATTATTAAACATTAATTTTGTTTTATAGATAAAAAAAATAAAATAAAAAAGCATAAGTAAATAGAAAAAATATTATGTTATAAAAATCAAAATATAAGATCCCTCACATTTAAATTGAAAATTTATGTCGAAATAATTAAACTAACAAAAAAACCAATATCATAAAAACAAATTGACTTGATATCTAATACAAAAACATTAATGTGAAAATTAATATAAAAATTAATATAAAACAAATTTAACCAAAAAAAAATATTTGTATAAAAGAAATTAACTTGATGTCTATACTATATATTTTGAAAATCAACAACAAAAGAGGTTATAAAAAAAATAAGTCCTAAGTATATCAAACATACGAAAAAATGTATACATTAAATAAAATATAAAATTATTATCAATAAATATCAAAAAAAAATGAAATAAATTTCAAAACATTCCTGATTTCTAAAGTATTAATATCAACAATGAATAACTATCTAAAAGTTGTAATATGTTTACAGAAGTTTCTAAATCAAACATATTTTTAAATATACAATGATTAATACACTGGATGTTTCTGATTTAAAAACTAACAAAGAAAAATACTACATAAATAAATTTACATTTGAAATTTAACAAGTACTAAAATCTGATTTCTATACATAGTCATCACTTATATCTAAACCAACATTAATAACACATGAATAACACATTCTAAAATTTTATTCGAGTAATAAAATATAACAGAGTTATGAATCAAACTCAAGTTAGTATATGTAGATAAAATATTCAAATCAAAACTTGCAGATTGTACATAAAAGATAAAAACAGTAAAAAATAATGTGAAGATTACACCACCAATCATATATGTTTAAAAACTAAAATTATCAAATAATAGATTGCAAAAGAAAAATAGATTTGAATAAAAACTGAATAAAGCTATAAACTAAAACTTGTGGAAGACCCAGTGGAGAAGGAATAAACGGTTTTGCATGATCACTGCAACTTCCTAACAAAACTAAATGCAAATCAGCATGAATCATGGATTATATATGAATAGGTACACCACCATCATCATATAATATATAAAAGTTGATGGCATAGTGCATTGAGGACGTCCACATGAGATTAAAAAACTCGATTTGATTGGTCCACACCAGCATATTCATTAAATAAAAAAATGTTAAGCATGATTAGGACGGAAAAACTTGATTTAATTGGTCCACATCAGCTTTTAAACCAAACAAATTTATTAAGTATAACTAAAACATTAAAAGTTACTTTAACAAATTATGTCCAACAAAAAAATTAAATTCAATTTGATTGATCCAAATCAACATATTTATTAAATAAAAAATGTTAATATGGTTTAAAAATTTAAAAGTAAAATAAAAAATTAACAGTTAACAATACATGTATAAAAAAAAGTAATCATAATCAATTATCAATTTAAAAAAATCTTCAACAACTCGATTTAACAATGAAAATAATGAAAACAATGAAAACTGAATAAAAATAAAACATAAAACTCTTGGAAGACATGATAGAGAAGAAAAAAATGGTTTTGCATGATCATTACAGCTTCCTAACAAAATTAAATGTGAATCAACATGAATCATTGATTATATATATAGTGGTACACAACATCAATAAGACTTTCAATAAAAAAACTAAATATTTGAACACATAAACCTTCAAGAAAAAAATAACTATATGAATTTTATGGAAAAAAAAAATCTTAGCAAGATTATATTTCTCTAAATCACATATATATGTACGTCAAAGTTGGATAATTCAATATGTGTCATTGTTATTATTTTACCTAATAGTTTTTTAAATTTATAAATAAAAATAGAATAATTACACATTATATAAAAATTCTCTTATATAAATGAATTTTTTTATAAATATATATAATTTTTAATAATTTTAAAGATAGTAGCTAAAAAAAATAAACCAAAATATTAATACAGACTCGTGCATAGCGCAAGTTATATACCTAGTTTAATATATAAAAGTTGATGGCATAGTGCATTGAGAGCGTCCACATGGGATTAAAAAATTCGATCTGATCGGTCCACATCAGCATATTCATTAAATAAAAAATGTTAAGTATGATTAGGACGGAAAAACTTGATTTAATTGGTTCACACCAGCTTTTAAATCAAACAAAAAATTATTAAGTATAATTAAAACATTAAAAATTAATTTAACAAATTATGTCCAACAAAAAAAATATATTCAATTTGATTGATCCAAATCAACATATTTATTAAATCAGAAAATGTTAATATGGTTTAAAAATTTAAAAGTTAATAAAAAATTAACAATTAACAATACTTATATAAAAAAAGTAATCATTATCAATTTAAAAAAATCTACAACAACTCGATTTAACAATTAAAACAATGAAAACTGAATAAAAATATAACATAAAACTCTTGGAAGACATGATGGAGAAGGAAAAAATGTTTTTGCATGATCATTACAGCTTCATAACAAAATTAAATGTGAATCAATATGAATCATGGATTATATATACAGTGGTACACAACATCAATAAAATTTTTAATAAAAAACTAAATATTTGAACACATAAACCTTCAAGAAAAAAAAGAACTATAGAAATTCTATGGAAAACAGAATATAATACCAAAATCTTAGCAAGATTATATTTCTCTAAATCAAATGTATGTATATATTAAAGTTGGATAATTCGATAGGTGTCATTGTTATTATTTTACTTAATAAATTTTAAAATTTTATAAATAAAAATAGGAGAAAACTACATAATATATTTTATATAATATTTTTTTTATAAATCTATTATAGTCTTAATAATTTAGAAGGTAGTAAATTAAAATAAAAAATAAACCAAATTATTAATATAAACTCGTGTATAGCACAAATTATAAACCTAGTCTATTATATAAAGGTTCACTATCTCAAAACACTTCAGCATCTCCCTGCATGACACATCAGCCTAAAAACAAACTAGAAAAAATAATAATCTCTTGAAAATCATTTCGGTCAAAATAAAAATAGTTTTTATCAAAGCGTTTCCTCTAGAAATTTAATCATCCTTATAATGAAAAACCTGTTTAATTGAAATCCAAAAATATACATAAATAATGGATGTACTTGATCTCAGATCATTCAATCGTCTCTCTTTGCTTGCTTAATCGAGAGAGAGAGATGACAAGAAGAGACGAATCAATCACAGAGCTACGATGCTCATCTATTCACTCGCATCATCCGGCGAGGCCACCGTTGATACTGCCGGCGAGGTTAGATCCTGGGTGTCGCCATCGTCGATGTGGAGGTTAGATACAAGGTCTTTTTGGAAGATTTTAGATTTTTTGGTTCCAAGGTGAGTCATTGTGGTGCCATACATGATTCTTCTATTCACGAATGTAGTACTCCTGTTTAGAGCAGCCTCCTGTTCAGTTTCTCAGCTATGGTTAACCATCGCCTCATATTATTCCGTCTGGTTAGATCTCCAGCGACCTACCAAATAATTTGTGGTAATGCATTTCCTCTAATATTCTATTGAGATGTATTTTTTACTATGTTTTCTTCTGAATCAGGAAATTCGCTGATTGAAAGCATTGTTTTGTTCAAGACAAAATTGCGCATATCAGTATAAACTGCATACTTGGTATAATAATGTGTATTGTCTTGTGGGTTGGACAGCTCCGAGTATCAATACTTGGTTAAAACTACACCTGATGAGAGAGTGCAAGTGCGAGGGCCAAATTGCTTTAGGTGAGTTTCTACAAATGTGACGTAATTGCCAAATACTGTATTCAATATTTAAGGTCTTTATTTTCTTTTCTCAACTACCTCTTTCTGCTGTTTAGTTCAATCATAGAAAAACTCCGTAGCACAACGGGAATGAAAAAATTGTAATTGAGACGTCGAATTAAGTTACAATATTTTGAAATATATTTCATCGGGATAGTCTTCTCATATTTTTTGGCTTGATTAAAATTTGGGAATTGAAATATGTTTTGTTACGTATACTCTCTGAAAATTGACTGTTTATGCATCAATAGTTTAGTGGCTTCGTTGATTTAGTATTACTTCTTGGATGAAAATTTAAAGCTTGAAGAGTTTTCAAGTGGACAGATTGTCTAGAAGCGATCATAGTTAGGTGGAAACAAAAATGTCTGAACTATATGAAAGACAACCAAAGTGGACACTGAAACAGCTCGTACAAGAAACCAACCAACCAGAGGTATGCTCTCTTCTTAAAATTCGTATCTAGAAAAAGCAGGAGAAATTAGCATCACATGTTATCTAAGCTTATTTCTACATTTTGAGAAACCCTGTTTTTATATATATATATATGAGAGAGATGTTTGATACCGAAACAGCCAGAGCAGGTGATGAAGATGAGAGGTGGATCAGTCTTTGGTAAGAAGACGGTTCTTGAGAGCGGCCATCATCTGAGTTGTCAGAGCAAGTGTAAGTCACCTCAGATCGAAGGCGCTCTCAATTACCATTAGGTCTCTCTCTCTCCCTTTCCAATTCGGGCCATTCCCAAATATTGATTTGTTTTTTGGTAGTAATTGTTATGCGGATGTTGTTTTTGATTGGAGTTGTGAAATTGAGGCGAATAGGACTTGACTATTTCTTTGATGGTGGTGAAATACCTTGGTATTTAAATTCCGCTTGTATGGAGTAAGGTGAATCTGTGTACCAAATCAAAATCGGTTAAAATTATGCCATAGACAGAGCGATGCAAATTAAAATCGGTAATCATTCAAGAATGCAAATCCTTTACTGTTTCACTTGTAATTTTGTGTAGCTTTTTAACTTGGGAAAAGAATGATATGCACATTAGGCCATAGACAGAGCAAGATTATCTGAAATTAACATCTTTAACTACATATTCAATATGAATGTAACTTGACTTGATTAGACCTTGTATTTGAGAATGCAGCAAATCTGATACGTTCAATTTCTCTAAACAAAACGCTTAGTAAAGCAGGGTGGCTAGGATCTGGAGTGTGATCTTAAGGCCATCAGGCTCCGGTCATCTCATTTTTTCTTTGTTGCTTGCCATGTCATATGAGGATACTTGCGTACGTTGAAACCTTTGGTGATTTCTTTCCTATTTTGAAGGTATATAACTAACATAAGCTGTCGTAAGAAGTTCCGATGAGTTAATAGGCTAAGCAAGTCGATAAACAATCTAAACACAAGAAAGTCCGTTTTTCCATGCAATGCCCTTACTCGGTAACTATACCAACGGTGAATCAAGGTATGGATATTTTATTCAGTTAATTAGACAAATATTTGAAAACTGAGCTCAAAGTTTTGTTGCGCAGATACTCAGACCTTGGAAGCATCACATTGGTCCTTGATATAGAAGATTCTTGTGTTATGATGATTGATGATTACCTCATCTATTGCCACTGCAAGTCGGAGATGTATTAGCTTATTTCAAACATTATCAAATGATTTAACATGTAATTCCTGGAAACTACTATAAACATATGATGGCACTATGTGATTCTTGGCATTATGTGATTCTATGCTGTATAATGCAAGTGTTGATTATTAGAAAGTTGGTACCTACACAAAATGATTAAAATAAATAATCATAAAAATTTGGGTGATACTAATGTTGGTTATATAATCTTTGAGACTATAAAAAATTATTGTAGTAAAAAAATCATATATATACATATTAATTCAAATAATTTTAATCACAAATCTAAAAATATATAATATAATATAAATTCGTGTGTATACACAGGTCATCACCTAGTGTTTTAGTGAAAGATGTGTTATTTGTCTCAATATTGAAAGAGTTGTAAATGAGTTGCAGATGAACCATCCAAACCCAGAAACAAAAAAAACACATATTTTTAACACTAACATTTGGTTGTATTATACATTATTGTTATCTTCTGATATTCAGATTCTATTTTCCTAAGTTCTGTGATACAATTAGCATATTAATGGTTTTGAATTTTGATGGTTTTCCTTTTAACTATTAGTTTTGGTGTTTTTCCTTTTTATATTAACTTTGGGTGTTTTCCTTTTAGCATTAGGTTTTATGATTTAAAGTTGTCGTGGCCTATATAATAGTTTTTTATGATTAATAAGAAATAACTTTCAAGCATTAACCTTAATCTCTAAGAGAGATTAAGGTTAAAGAAAGTTTAGCTAAATCTCTTAGTTATTCTTTCGTTAATCACAGCTCCTAGGAAGAAGAAATCGCCTGCTCACACTACTAGACTTACACGAGCTCAAGCTAAAGCAAAGGCTGAAGCATAAGCTCGTATCAATTTGGTATCAGAGCCCAACGATCCAATGATACCACGATCGCGACTCAACTTGCTCTCATCATGGAGCGCTTAGAGGGTTTGGATGAAATCAAGGAGAAGGTACAAATCTTTACAGACAGAACCGAAACTCTGGAAGCAATCGCTTCAGCTTAAGGCACAGACTCAGGACTTCAAAAGGGCAGAGCTGAAGCGATTAATTTGCAACAGGGACCGGTAATTAAATTCTCCACCGAAGAGCTATCCGGAGTTGAGGTTTTAAGTGCAACCAAGGGAAGCAGAGGAAGTACCTTGCCAGTAGCGCCAGAAGCAGGAACTTCAGCAAAAATTACTAAACACGTACCGGCCTTGGGTGGAGGGTTGATGAGAGATGAGCACAAAATAGCTTTCTCTGGTGGACCATGGCCCACAAGAGCCGTAGGAAGAGAGCGGGACCAGCGACACACTGATGGTGGAGGGGAATGGCATGTGCGGCCAATAGGAGCAACACTTAACGAGAATCCAGTGAGTTACGCTCAAGGTGATTTTCGAGTTCAGGAAGAACGAACTTGGAAGGGTAATTATGAGGTTCATGATGACAGAGGCTAGCCCTGAACGGCGTGTTGTTCCAGCAGAAAATATGGAGTTTCCACCTTATGATGGGACAACAAACATTGTTGAATGGCTGCAGAAGTGTAATGACTATTTTGCGAATCATAGGGTCTTCAACGATGATGCCAAAATTAGACAGGCAACGTTCGTCTTAACAGGGCAAGCATATCATTGGAATAATAATCTCCAACGTTTGTTCACTCATAAGTTAAGTTGGACTGAATTCAAAAGAATTTGCAAAAGCCATTTTTGTAAAGCAGATTCAGTCAATCCAGTGGGAGAGTTGTCGAATTTGAGACATACAGGAACGGTAGATGAATACTGCAACCAGTTTGAAGAGTGTCTTGGCCGGCAAACAAGACTTACTGGGGATCAACAACTCTGGCAGTTTTGTGCAGGATTGACGGACAGTTTGCGAAAAGAAGTAGAGTACCTTCGTCCCGAAACAATCTTTGCAGCCATGGAGTATCCTAGAGACAATGAATACAAGATCGAAGGGGACACTAGAATACGCACGTTTGGAGGACATAGGGCTCCACTAGCTAGGCAGTTAGTCCAAATGTCAGGGGATAAAGAAGCTTTGTTGTTGCAACAAGAAGAAGCAAAACAAGCTCCACAAAAGCATTACTGGAAGAAGTTGACTAGGGCAGAAATGGCAGAGAGCAAAAGGACTTTGTTTCAACTGCGATGAACTTTTCACGAGAGAGCATGTTTGTAACCGAATGCTTTTCCATATAAAGATTGTCATGGAAGGAGATGATCAATAGGATGAACTGATAGAAGAAGAGGACCTTTCAAGGAGCTTGAGGACAAGATCCTAGTTGACGAGGGGAGTAATGATACGATTAGCAGATTAATGGTTTTGGGTTTTGATGGTTTTCCTTTTAACTATTGGTTTTGGTGTTTTTCCTATTTACATTAGCTTTGAATGTTTTCCTTTTAGCATTAGATTTTATGATTTAAAGTTGTCGTGGCCTATATAATAGTTTTCATGATTAATAAGAAGTAACTTCCAAACATTAACCTTAATCTCTAAGAGAGACTAGGGTTAAAGGAAGCTTAGCTAAATCTCTTAGTTCTTTTTTCATTAATCATGGCTCCTAGAAAGAAGAAATCGCATGCTCATACTACTAGACTTACATGAGCTCAAGCTAAAGCAAAGGCTGAAGCAGAAGCTCGTATCATTCTGTTTCAGCAAATATATCATATCACTAATATTTGTTTCCCGACTCCTATAAAAAAGATATTATTTGTCTTGCCCCACTTTTTTACCGTTCTTGCTCTTTATTGGATTGTAGAGAACAAGCCGCATAACTTTATAGTGAATCCTATGGATTAATCAGACAATAATTGATTTACCATCGTAGCCACTGAAATCTAATCTCTCTCTTAGAGATTGAAATGTAATCTTACAGGGTTCCTAAGAACTACAACAAATTCCACATGTGAACTTGCTCTTGCTTTGATTTCACTCAGAAAGAAAGAAAGAAAACATAACTCGGAAGTTTCACACCATCTATTATATTAAAGGAGAATCCAATTTAGAAGAATAACCTTTAATTACTGTGTTATTTACCTAATGTGCCATTGAACTTTCATTAAATATATAAAAGTTTATTAAATCTATTATTTTCATTAAATCATTAAAAGCCTATTTTGTTATTTGTCTCATTAAGGGCCCAATATTTTATTTTCATTCTTATTAAAAAGCCCATTTTTGTTTAAAAATTTAGAACTATCTTTTTTTTTTTAATTCGAAATCTATCAATTAATTATATAGAAAACGCCAAAATTAAAAAATAATATTTTTAGGGTCTAAATTTCATTTTGCCTGAAGGACCTAAGATATGTAAAGTCGGGACTGTATGTCAATATCTATTATGTTTCTTTTTCTGCAATTGGACTTCCTCAACTACTGTTTATATACCTATAAAATTAAAGTCATATACCCTGATCGATTTTTTCCGTTACAGAGAAGAAAAATGGGAAAAAGGAAAAACAAACAGAGAAGAAAATCAATTAAAATAAGAAAGAAAGAAAGAAAGAAAGAAAACATAACTCGGAAGTTTCACACCATCTATTATATTAAAGGAGAATCCAATTTAGAAGAATAACCTTTAATTATTGTGTTATTTACCTAATGTACCATTGAACTTTCATTAAATATATAAAAGTTTATTAAATCTATTATTTTCATTAAATCATTAAAAGCCTATTTTGTTATTTTTCTCATTAAGGGCCCAATATTTTATTTTCATTCTTATTAAAAGGCCTATTTTTGTTTAAAAATTTAGAACTATCTTTTTTTTTAATTCGAAATTTATCAATTAATTATATAGAAAATGCCAAAATTAAAAAATAATATTTTTAGGGTCTAAATTTCATTTTGCCCGAAGGACCTAAAATATGTAAGGTCGGGACTGTATGTCAATATCTATTATGTTTCTTTTTCTGCAATTGGACTTCCTCAACTACTGTTTATATACCTAGAAAATTAAAGTCATATACCCTGATCGATTTTTTCCGTTACAGAGAAGACAAATGGGAAAAAAGAAAAACAAACAGAGAAGAAAATCAATTAAAATAAGAAAAGAGGAAGAAAAGAGAATAATAATGTAGAAGAAAAGCTTAAAAGAAAAATGAAAAAAATAAGAAGAAGATGAAGAAGAACAATAATAAAAACTTAGAAAAATAAAAAGAACAACAAAAAAGAATAATAATAAAGAAGATAAAGACAAAGAAAAAACATTAATATATTATCTTTTTTAAACACACTTTTATTATATATTTTTTGACTAAATATATGAGTACGATTAACAAAAAATATATAATTAACTATTCAAACTTTAAACTTTAATAGTTAAAATTCAAAAATAATATTTAAAACATAAATTTTAATCTTACAAATATTTACTCAGCACAAACGTAAACACATGCTTAATATGTAGGAGTGTTGTTTAATATATAGAGTTGTATCAAGCATGTGTTTACGTAAGAATGAATATATTTTTTAATATACATATTTAATAACATCTTAGCATTATTTGTGAATTAACTATTTTGAGTAAAATGTTGTCGAACCATAAAATCACATTTTAAAATTGTATTTATAAAACTAATATGTTCTAAAATTAAATTTTAAATAAAAAATTACTTGCGCGTCCGCGCGCAGGTTAGATCAATTAATTAAGAAGAATAGCTAATACTTAGACAATAAAAAAAAAAAACTTAACCTTGTTATTAGCTTCTCTTTCTACCTTTGTAACTCAAAAGAGAATAGGATATGAGAATGATTATTGAATTGGATGTTTTAAATCTGAAAACAGGTTGACAGTAGAGGCAGACAAGTTCATAAAAGACTTGACCATAATTACATAGTATGTTGGAGATGTTGATTATCTGAGCAACATAGAAGATGACTATAATGGAGACAGCATGATGACTCTACTTCATACCTCTGATCCTTTGCAATGCCTAGTTATTTGTCCTGACAAATGCAGTAACAACACCCGTGTCATCAGGGGAATCAACAATCACACGCCGTGAGTTTCTTCT